AGTTGTCTATCACACGTCACCAACAACAATTTGAGGCAAAGCAATAATGAAAACAGGTAATGCAGTCCTCATACTTCGGGAGCGACTCATTACATTCAAAATATACTTTCTCAAGACAACATTTGCACGATAAAACGTAATGCAAGACAAGAATACACGATTGGCGCAAGTCGGTTATCTTCCGGTAGGAGTACGCATGTAATTCTTGTGCAATTAACGTTTTTTTTGCGGGACGATGTGCGCATGTGACTGCGTGAGTGCGTAGACGAGTTGAGTTAATGGGTGTGAGTTATGAAATGAGTGAGTCAGAGTATAGCACACGAGTAGAAAATAGAATGCTGATAGATTTTGTTAGTCATTAGTAAGGCGAGAGTGAGTAAAAAAGGAATAGGATGGCGTGGAAGTTGGAAGAAATAAGCGAAGGGTAGGAGGAGTGGGTGGGCGGGAGGCTAAGGTAAAGAGAAGAGGTATGGGTGAGGATGGGGGTCAGCTATGTAAACGGGGGTGGCAATGTGGATTTGCACGCAATGAAAACAATCACCGATCTGACTGCACGAAAAAAAAAACATTCACACTAATAACAAAGAACTTACGTTAATTTCAATATTAATCAACTACTATGCGAAATCATAAAAATGGTACTTTAATTAGTACGTAAAATGAATGAAACGGTGACTGGTTTGGGTCAGCTTCCCTGAGACAACTGACCCGAAAGACAACCCTCGTGGTTGTAAATGATGCTTAAAATAAATTCCCTGAGGAAGGTGATGACGTGATGACCCAACCGTAGAAGGGACACATCATCCAGCTCATACGCAGAACGCAAATTGGGCATCCCGTCTTGTTGGGAAATACCAGCGATAATCTCTCACGTATAGTCGTATAAGAAGGCGCGTGGCGCTGAGATCGCCTGGGCGATAGGTGTGCGACTCGGCACTTGAGAACAACTTAACACTAGTTACCTAAGCCTAATTACATGTCCATACCCAGCTGTGGGTCGTCACCAAGGACCATGTAATAATGATGAGGTGAGGTTCGTGATTAAGATAAACGAAAATCAGGAACAATATGAAATCGTAGTAGCTGTATAATATAATCAATCTCTAACACGGAGATAGCTTAATAAGATATAAATACAAATAGCTTGAATGTAATTTAAGTTGGGCGAAGTCAGATGGTGGGGAGGGGTATTTTACCTGAGTAAGGTCAAGTGAGGTCATTAACCAAATATGTTAAAATAGCAAGAGCTAGTATATACGAGACTAAATAATATTGTGAAAAACAAGTACACAATAATCAAATTACAGATAAATGAACATGAATAATTAAAGAAAAAATATATCTATAAAGAAGGCGAATAATTATCGAAATATACTTCGGAATATGCATATTCTTTGGCGTGTTTTTCTAACTCTCATGCTAGCCTAGTTAGCATAAATCGTTAGTAATGCTTAAATCTTTCATTTATGTGGGTGAACTAGGCCGTGCATTTTTTCTTTAAATTAACCATACTAAGCCACGTGGCTAGAGTTACAAGTATTGCCATATATTTGGTATATTTTCTTATTCTTATTATCTTCCAGTGTATAAACCGACGCTATATCGACGTTAATTTGGCATATTACTAAGTGCATTTATTTAGGCTCGGTTTAAATATGCATTTGTGGGATATTTTGGAATATTTAAATAATTTAGTTAAATTATGCACAAACTTTTTCTCTTTCCCGACGCTTCCCACCTATACCCTTCCTTACACTCCCGCTATTACTATCACTACCATCCTAAACCCCCTCCCTCTCTCTTAACCCCCACCCGTTAATCCCCCCTTCCTTTCTACCTATTTTCAATATTTCTAGTCCGCTAGTGTTAAATTATTTTTTGCAGTGATAACGTTTTATATTTTTTCTTTTCGTATCTATATTTATACAAAAACAGTGTGCCTTGCTCATTTGTATGTTTATATGAATAACTTTAGTATTTTTTATGTATAAAGTGTTATATTCGTTTTATAGTGCGAATGACCTCACTCATGGTTGTTCAGGTGAAATCAAGTCAGGTCCTATAACATTGTGATTTTATCATTATCCGTTATCAACGTATTTACGACAGAGTGATGAATTTACTTCCGGTTTGCATGAATATATCGGGAACTATAATAATACTAGCGTAATTCAACGAATTGTTTTTACGTTATTATTAATAGTATATTTGTGCATATTCCGAAGTATATTTCGATAATTATTCGCCTTCTTTATAGATATATTTTTTCTTTAATTATTCATGTTCATTGTTGGTAATTTGATTATTTTAATTTCTAGATTATTGTGTACTTGTTTTTTCACAATATTTAATTTTACATATACTAGCCCTTGCTATTTTTAACGTATGTCCGCATAACGACCTCATTTGACCTTACTCAGGTAGAAGGTACTTATAGCCATCTGACTCTGCTCGACCAAAATACATTCAAGCTATTTGTATTTAATTTTTATTTAGTGATCTCCGTGTTAGATATTAATTATATTAAACAGCTACTACGATTTCATATTGTTCGCGATTTTCGATTATCTCGATAACGAACCTCACCTCATCATTATTACATGGTCCTTGGTGACGACCCCCAGCTGGGTATGGACATGTAATTAGGTTTAGGTAATTAATGTTAAGTTGTTCTTGTGCCACGCAGCACACCTATCGCCCAGGCGATCTCAGCGCCACGCGTCTTCTTATACGACTATACGTGAGAGATTATCGCTGGTATTTCCCAAGAAGATGGGATGCCCAATTTGCGTTCTACGTATGAGTTCGTTCGATGATATCCCTTCTACGGTTGGGCCCATCATCACTATTCCTCAGGGGAATCTATCTTAAGTTTAAGTACAATTTACAACCACGAGGGTTGTCTTTCGGGTCAGTTGTCTCAGGGAAGCTGACCCAAACCAGTCACCATTTCATTCATTTTACGTACTAATTAAAGTACCTTTTTTGATTTCGCATAGTAGTTGATTAATATTGAAATTAACGTAAGTTTTTGTTATTAGTGTGAATGTTTTTTTTTCGTGCAGTCAGATCGGTGATTATTTTAATTAAATTCAACTTACATTGCCACCCCCGGTTACATGCCTGACCCTCCCCCCCCAATCTCCACCCATACCTCTTTTACCTTAGCCTCCCGCCCACCCACTCCTCCTCCCCTTCGCTTATTTCTTCCAACTTCCACGCCATCCTATTCCTTTCTTACCCACTCTCGCCCTTACTTTAACACATTACTAGACTCTAAAAAAACTAAAATATATCTATCAACATTCTATTTTATTCTCGTGTGCTATACTCTGACTACTCATTTCACAACTCCCACCCATTAAATTAATCAACTCGTCTACGCACTCACGCAGCCACATGTGCACACGTCCCGCAGAAACCCGTTAATTGCACAAGAATTACATGCGTACTGTCTCCGGAAGATAACCGACTTGCGCCAACCGTGTATTCTTATCTTGCATTACGTTTTTCCGTGCAAATGTTGTCTTGAGAAAGTATATTTTGATGTAATGAGTCGCTCCCGAAGTATGAGGATTGCATTACCTGTTTTCATTATTGCTTTGCCTCAAATTGGTGTTGGTGACGTGTGATAGACAACTTCAATGAAATGAGATACATCTACTATTAGTCAGACGTATAGCGTATGCATTATTGCACTGCACACTTCTGAACTCTGCATTGTTGCATTTTTTCTTTTTTCCAAGGAAGTTCGTCGTTCAAGACAAGTCCTTGCGGACTGCGACACCTTTTGCTTCCTTTGTAGTTTTGCACAATGCTTATCTCTTGTAGATTTTCATTTCCTGCTATCTGAGACAATTGCAACTCAAGCAAGTCTTCGCGGACTATTGTAATTGTCTCCCTAAGCATGTTCCTCTGTCTATCTTTGGACAGTGCATTATTGAAAAATAAATAAAAATTGAAAATTCATGAAAATATTTGCAAAAACAATCTTTGCAATCTGATATATCTTGATTACGGCCCCTGCTATAACACACCCCCCCCCCCCTGTTTGCCCTCCTGTCTCTCGCCCTGTCTCTGCCTCTGGTGTGCTTTTTTTCAGAGCCAGTTTCATCCCGTCGGGGGCGACGGTTAGTAGCGTATGCCGAGCGATCTGAGGAACAAGGGTTGCCTTCCCGCGTCTCCACTGCTAGGGACCCGCGACCAGCGCTCGAAGCCACACACAGTTGACCCAGCACACTTGACCGGGGCCCACGGCCCTGACCACACCTCTCCTTGGGGGCGCTCCCCCACGCGCGCCCCGCTCGACGCCCCCCTTGGGCTTCCTTGCCCACAACAACCAGCGCCACGCTACCTTCCAGCCACCTCCTATCAATAAACAGCTGAACCAGAATTGTGTCTCCATAACCCACCAAATCAGGGCAACACAAAACCCCTGACAGAGAGAGAGAGAGAGAAAGAAGAAAAGAAGAGAGAGAGAGAGAAAGAAAGAAGAGAGAGGGAGAGGAAGAGAGAGAGAGAGAGAGAGAGAAAGAAAGAAAGAAAGAAGAGAGAGAGAGAGAGGGGGGGGAGGGAGAGAGAGAGAGAGAGAGAGGGAGGGAGGGAGAGAGAAGAGAGAGCATCGTTATACCTGAAAAAGAGATTTCTTGCTTTGCCAATGTCTGTCATTTATGCAAGATGTGAGAGAATACACACACAAACGAGTATATATATATATATATATATATATATATATATATATATATATATATATATATATATATATATATGTATGTATATATATATATATTATATATATATATATATATATATATATATATATAT